AAAAAAATCACTGTATTTTCTTAGTTGAAACTTGTTATGATACTGGTACAGCAGCAATGCTTGAGGCCCATCCTCCAAACTATAGTTTCTATGAAACAAAAAGTAACTCTAAAACTATAAAACAGTTTTGCACTGTCTCAGCATGTCATTGTCTGACTCACCAGCACACGACACTCTGCACTCGGTGATAACTGGGCTAAAAATGAACAATGTTTCAGTAACTGAATTACCTCTCTACGCTGTTGCTCCTCTAGAAGTCGAACAGATGTCGAATGCAGAGTCTCCCCATGGTTGAACAATAATAGTGTTCAACATTGATAATTCCTTAGTTTCTCCTTCCCTCACGTTAGGAGTGTGGGTGTCATTATTGATATGAGCTTGGAAAGCTGGTGCTGTCTTTGCCCATCCCTCCCACCCAACAGCACTGCCATTATCATTCACAGCCTGGTTATGTCCCCTTACGGATTACTGTACCTCCCTTTTGGTCTCTCTCAAAAATTCCTTCATAAACTAGTCTAGAATTCTGCCGCTCGCATCATTTCCAGAACCCCCTCCATTAATCACATCACTCCTGTCCTTCAGCAGCTTCATTGGCTCTCATTCAAATACCACATTGTTTTTAAGATTCTGCTCCTCTCCTTTAAGGCCATGCATAATCTCACTCCTCTATACCTTTCTGAACTCCTGCACATCGACAGACCCTCCGGCACTCTCAGGTCTTTTTCCTTTATCCACCTCACTGTACCACCTGCCCATCATGGGATATAGAGCCTTCAGCCTCTCTGCTCACCACCTCTGGAACTGCCTCCCACCAGAGATCCATAACATTGAGTCTTTGATTCCAGTCTCAAAGCCCATCTTTTTAAACTGGCATATTTAGACTGTTTATCAATCGGCCAACCTACATAATGTTTTATTCACTGTTAATTTTATTGATCAACTGTAACTAGGAGGATAGAGCACATTAGTCCTGTTTTAGCTGCTCTGCATTGGCTTCCCGTAACATCTAGAATTTACTTTAAGTTTCTCCACCTTGTATACAAAGCCCTTCATGGACAATGAATAAGCTATATTGCCAACTCCCTTATTAGCTATCTGCCCTCCAGAACACTGAGGTCATCTGCTGCATGTCTACTGGAGGTTCCCAGGACTAGCCAAAAAGAAGATTGTGATGGAGCCTTTGTCAATGCTCCCACACTATGGAACGCACTGCCAATAGATAAAAGGGAAGCCAGTTATTGATATTGTCTAGGAAAGCTTAAAAAAAAAATCTCTACACCCGAGCCTTTAAATAGCTTTGCACTTGCACTCTGCTGCACTTTTTAAATGCACTGTACTATTTTTAATCTGCTTTATTTTTGATGCAATGTTATTATTGTCAAGCACTATGAGCTTTCTAAATAGGTATTTTATTGCGACTTATTTGTCATTTATTGTACTATGGTTTTAGTGGTTGCAGCTTCTAGAGAAGCCAAGGGCAAACAACTTGAAGAAATCTTTGTTACACTCAAAATGCTCTTATCACCAAATGGATTTTGCTTGTGATCATGTGTAGACGCATTCTGTTTTATTCATCTAGCGCTTTCATATTTCTTATTTATTTTTTATCTTTGCTGTAAAGCAATTTGTGCTTCAATTCTTGTATGAAAGGTGCTATACAAATAAAGTTTATTATTAAATAAATGCCAGGACACTAATTCTTACACCTTACATAAAAAGATATTCACACACATAGTTAAAAAAAGTTATCTTAAACAGTTTGTATTTATATAGCACTTTTCTAGTCTTGGTGACTGCTCAAAGCACTGTACAGTACATTTTGCCATTCACCCATTCATACAGTTGCATCTATTAATACTGTTTTCTGTTCTATGAGGGTCAATTTAGGGTTCAGCATCTTACCCAAGGACACTTCCGATTGCAAATGGGAAAACTGGGGATTGTATTACCAACCTTCTGGTTGGAGGATGACCGCTCTACCCCTCACAGCCACACTAAGCTGATCTGTTAAGGGAACAGAATGATCCGTGTACGGATGCCTCCAGTACAATAATCAAAAAATACAACATAATAAAGGAAAGATGGAAGTCTATTGCTCTATCTTATAATAATCATGCCTGATAGACTTCTGCAGCCAGGAAAAGCAAGATTTGTGTCTGTAGCGCTTCATGCCACTACTGTAAAATGCCTGTTCTGTAGTCCAACATATATGGTCTTTTTCTTTTTCAGACGTTTTGTAACTTTCTTCCGTTTTGTGTAGAGGTGTGCATCTTCACTAGCCTCCCGATTCGATTACGATTCAGCAGTCAATGATTCCAATGGTGCATTTCAACGCATCACATTCACAGTATTCTATATTTAAGTCAAGTCCTTACTGTTCCAATAACTGTGACTCAATAAAAACCCAGACATTCCAATCACACCCACTATTGTTTCACCTCTCAACCAAACCGTGGATTTGGAGAATCGTCACAACCCAAGCAGACCGTAAAAGCTATGGGCGAAAGCATGAGCGGACATAAGGCAAAGAGTGGTGCGGACAGCTCTGCAAGGAATCGAAAGAGCAAAACATATCGATCTCTATTACAGTATAAGAGGTGTAACCTGTATACGTGCACACTCTGACATGAATGTACTGCATTTCATTGTATGTGTTGGACAAAGAGCCAACAAGGGAGTCAATTAGGGGGAGCCAGTAGCTCAGTCCATAGCGACTTGGCTTGGAAACCGGAGAGTGGTCGGTTCAAGTCCAGCATGGACAGAAGTTGGAGAGTTCACCTCCTGGGCCCTTGAGCAAGGCACCGAACCCCCCAATTTGCACCCCGGGCCGCCTTTGTGGCTTGTGTTCCGCGTGTGCTCCGTTCACACGGATGGGTTAAATACATCGGTCAAATTCCCCCCATGTTTGCACGTTGCATGCTGTGTGTGGGACCGTAGAGAGGAATCTGAATCTCAACAAGGGAGTCAATCACAAAGTCAGTGACAGTCCCCTCTGCAAGTAGAGGGTGCTGCACCCGCCCTATTTCCAGGCGCACGCTCCAGCTGCACGTGATTAGCAGGCGGAGGGTTTCTCCGGATTCCAGAACATTCTGCGGAGAGGATCCTTCCGTGGCTCTCACTTCGCTCATGGTCCAAACACGGAACTCGAGGTACAAATCGTAAATCGCGCGTTCACCTCAGACGACGTCACTCCCGAAACGCTAGTTCCGCATTTTACCGCACAAAGCATCCGGGGGGAAACTGTTTCACACTTAAATGCATGATTCAATTAAAACATTCAAAAAGGCAAACTTCAACGAGCCTTCAAACTCTCAACAGTACTCACCGAGTGTCCACACGTCACTTTAAACGCATCCAACGCGTTCCTCGTCACCGCAAAAGTTTCCATGTCACTCCCGAAAGTTTGGCGGTTGTCGGTCACGTAATATCGTTCTCTACTTGAACATCGTCAGACGGAGTTCCGGGGAAGCCTGCAGAGTTCCGTTCTTGGGAAGCCGAGATCCCTCGAGGGTGAAGCGCGGAGAGGCAGAGGAGTCAGCGAGGGAGGAGGACGAGGAAGAGGCGCCCCCGCGCTCCTTATATGGCCCGGGACGTGACCTCTGATTGGTGGCCTTTCAGAAGCAGCGTTCTTGTTGAAACAATTCTAATAACGATAATAACTTCCTTGTGCAACACATTCTAACTTATATGTTATCTCTGCAGACGAATGAGATGAATAGACGAACAATGCAATGAACAGCAAATGTGCCTTACAACTTCCTTTCAGCTGGAAGTTCAAACTGTGGAGTAATTAATGTCTACGTTTGCATAATTTTTGGTGAGAAATAAACAGATTTTTCTTCTTTTTCTAAGTAAGACACTGATGAAATGACATGGCAGAAACAAAGATATACACTTTATATAGTGACGATACAGCGATAGACATCAGAGCTCCCTATATGCTCCCCCTCTGTAATGTGTGGTGTCTGAAATAATATGTATTGTCTTCCTTTTGAATGAAATGTATCTTTGGGTTTGAGGCCCCCAGCTCCTGAGAGAATCGGAGGAAGACTATAGGTTGTCTGAGAAAAGCTGAATGTACACATTAGGGCATTATATCACGGCTCTAACTGTCACCCTAAATTTGAGCTGGTGTCCCTTCCTGTCATCTGACAGTCAGGAGGAAAGTCAGATGCGTCGGGAGGAGATTTACATTGGCCCCGAATCTCTCCCCAGGCAGATTGCATTGCTTGCATTGATGCTGAACTTTTTGTAATAAACCTTTATATACAATCAAGACGGTGTCATCGGAGATTCCTTCATTATCTTCACATCATCGCAACCCCAATATACGACAAGAGCAAGTGTGTTTGTGTGATCTGAGGGAGAGCAAGATACATTTCAATTGTGTGTGTAACTTACTGTGTGTGGATTGCATGCAACATGACAATAAAAGTAATCTTGATCTTAGTATGTCTTATTGAATGGACAGAGAGTCACACTGGAGAGCTAGTCCTACAAACAAGAGAGTTTGGAGTTAAAAATGAACATGTTCAGGTTTTGTTACCGTGAATGTTCAGGTATTTAATTTTCTCCTTTTGTGTTCTGTGCTCCATGTTTCAGTTAAAAATGATTTCTCTTTCCTTTTTAATGCAAGGGGTCTAAGAGACATTGCAAAAATAAAAACCTCTTTTTTCATCCTGCACGGGGAAAAATGCAAATATTATTTTTCTTCAAGAAACTCATTGAAAGATTGAATATAGTGTGTTTCGGTCTAAACAATGGGGAGAAGCTTATTTCAGTCACAGCTCTTGATGATCATTCAGGGTCACCATCCTACTGATAAAACTTTCAAGGGCAGATTGTTTCCTACAGCAGATGTTCATGGTCATTGGATGATTCGTACACTGACCCTTGATTATTTGAAATTCATATTCATCCATTTCTATGTGTACAACAACAAATAGGAAAACAAAAAAACATTAAGTTGCATTTAGATCCACGGAAAATATCACACGCAACTGATAATGTTATGATTGGAGGTGATCTCAACTTAATTCATAAAGAACGTTATGATAAAAATCACTGGAGACACTTTGCAAGTCATCCAAATGCATATTTACTAACGTTTGCAATGAACAAAGTTTAACTGATGCATGGAGATATTTAAATCCAGTCATAATCAAATAATCATGGTTCAGCTAAAATCACAATTTAAAACTGACCTCTCCTGGAGGAGTAGGTACTGCTTCCTGCAAGCTCTCCAACTTTAAGCAGACCTGCCTGGAGGAGACTGCTAAAACCTCTAACCTGGCACCAACACCTCACACACTCATCTCCCCAAACTTAACACCTACATGTGACCTCAGCCACATGACCCCACCACTCCAGGGGGGCTTTCATCTTCATAGTGGCCAGCAGCCATTTTGCAACTCGTTTACTCGCTCACTCACAGGCACACACACACACACACACACCGACATTCATAATAATTGTATTAGTTTCATAATAAATGTTTTTCTTAACACACATGTCTTCATTAATGTTGCAACCTCTACACTGGGAAGAACTCCATATCGTTCAACCCTGCTAGCTATGATGTGGTATTTTTGGTTGTAGTTGTTAATTTTGTTATTAATCAGATACCCAAATTTGTAGTCAGTATTTTCATGAGACTTAATCAATAAATTGGTTATCTTTTCCCTTCCTTTGAAGGAAGGTGCCCCGAGGTAGCCTTTTATCA